ACCCCTCTCGGCCCCGCCCCAAGCCCCTTGCCCAGGGCTACCCCGGGGTTACCAGTGGAGGGTGTAGCCCCGGGGGCGGTCCGAGGTGGGGCCAAAACTGCATTTTTGCAGTTAGGCCCAGAGGGTGCAGGCTTCCGCTTCGCACCCCCCTTTTTTTTTTTTTTTTTTTTTTTTTTTTTGGCGCCTCCCGGTCTGGGGTCAAAGGACCACCGCACCGGATCTGGGGTCGAGGTTGTTACAACCCTGCACACCACCATATCTATTGTTTTGTTACCGGAAAATAAAATAAAATGGATTTGTGATGAAAAATTAGAATGAATCTTTGCACCTCATGCACGCGTCACCCTAAACAGATTGCGACGAACTCCTTTCCCTAGTAAGTAAGATTATACATTCTATCGCGAATCTATATCTGACTTGTTTTCGACAACTCATACAACAGGACACTTAGGAATTAGTGTTGTGGACAAACACCGTCATAGCAACAATACCTCCGAACGCAGATAAAGTAACTTTCATTCGCAGTGAGAGCGCTTGCACTAACGTCACTACTATCTAATATCCCTAGCGTCATCACACTTTAGAAAGTTAAAAGAAAAATTTTCTTGCAATACCGAAAGAAGCTATGGTTTGAGACAACAACATTAAGAAGAGCTCATAAATTTAAATTTATGGAGTTGTTATTATGAGTTGAAAAATAATTTTCCTTATCTGAATTCTACCCTCTTCGAGTTACATTCGATGCTTTAAAACAAGTCATTTCCTCGTACATGGAGTGGTGGCTAACGTGTTTTAGAACATGAAATACCTAAGTTTCCTGTCCCGACCCGGCCTCTAATCTTGGAATAGATTTATAGAGTATTAGCAAGTCCATAAATGTTTTTCCAAAACCTAAACAGAGTGATTACTGTCGTGTAGTGACTGCTTGAAGTCTCACTAATGATTTTTTTTATTCAGACGAAGGATTGAAGAATGTGATTCCATCTTTCTAGTACTTTACCGGGTTTTAATCCAGCTTGAGATTCATGACAATATTATAGACGAATTTGCCTTTGTTGTCACGCTCATCTTGATTTTTCTGATGGTGCATCTTATCGCAATTTGAGCATAATCCATTGTTGTGGTTAAATAGGTTATGTTTCAACGGTAAGAAACAATGCACTTAGGCACAATTTAGAATAAAATCGTAAAATATGTATAGATTTGTATAATTCGTATGTCGGTAAATTAGACATTTTATTTTTGTATTGTTCACTTTTTTCTTCTTTTCTCTATAATCAAAATAGAGCATGAAAAAAAGCCTCAGTTGTTCACTACTTCTGGTGCTGCTGTTGATTTAGTCACTACCTGATTTTGCTTCTCTCTCTCTCTCTCTCTCTCTCTCTCTCTCTCTCTCGCTCTCTCTCTCATTGACTCTCTCGCTCACTCGTATACGACAATTGTTCATCACCACGTGACGTTTTTGACAATACGGCTATATTCCAAAATGTCACACGATTCTGAATTGCTTCATGTGTTTTAGGTGGGAAGGGGTGCACATCGAAGTGACTCACAAGTGGTTATTGCATAGATGAATATTCGAAGATGGACGCTCTGAATGTGAAAAAATATTTAATGGTTTTTCGGGTTTGAATTCTTGTTTTTACGTCATGAATATTTGATTGCAATTGTGAAGATTGGGGTGAAAGATGTCGTTAATGGTGAATCAATTTTTAATTGTTTTGGAAAAACCATGTTTATTGGTACAGATAAGGTTTGGAAGGGTGTACGTTGTTTTAGTATCATTCGCCTCTTCAAGATTTTCATTATCTGTTGCGTGATCTGACCCTGAAAATCATGAAGAACCCTTAAAAAGGGGAAGACTGTGAAAGTCTACATCCCATTTTGATATTCATGATTTTCATGGACAAAGGGTGTAAGTTGTTTTCGCAATATTCGTCCCTTCACGATCTTCATTATCTGTTATGTGATCTGACCCTGAAAATCATGAAGATCTTCAAAGGATGAAGACTTTGAAAGTTTCCACCCTATTTGATATTCATGATTTTCAGGGGCGGAAGGCATATGTTACTTTTGTAACATTCGCCTCTTCATAATCTTCATGATCTGACCCTGAAAATTATAAATATTTTCAAGAGGTGAAAGACCATGAAAGTCTCCGCCTCATTTTGATATTCACGATTGTCAGGGCTCACCATTCTGAATCTTATAAAACCACAATGAAAACGTGACGTAGTGAATGTTCCGAATGACCTCCCCTCCTCCCCCCCCCCCCCCCCCCCCCTCCCCTTTGGCTCCTACTGTGAGAGCATTCACCGCNGAGTCGAGAGGCGGCAGAGGAGTCAGAGGCCGAGGGACCCTGAGCCCAGGGAGGCGAGACCATCTCGAGGAGGACGGAAGGCCCTAGCCAGGAGAAAGCAGGAGCCAGAGGATGAGGAGTGAGGGGCATACCCTGAGTGTGGGTTGGGGCCAGTGGAGTTCCATCGTTTTACTGAGGGTGGATTGAGGAGGTCGCCGGCACACACACAGGGGGAGCCACCAGCGTCAGAGGGGCCCTTGAGGGAATTGGAGATGCATTTAGATATTTCTCGGTGGAGGGCGTCGCTTCAGGGTGAGGGGCATGGAGAGCAGGCAAAGGAGGTGCCACGAGAGGAGGTACCACAGGAAGAGGTCCGGGGTACTTAGCGAGAGAGAGGGCTGGGCGATGAGGGGAGACATGCAGGGAAAGAAGTGATAGAGGTTGAAGAGGACACGCCCCCACAGATGCCAGCAGTGGGTTTGAGACTCGGGGATGCACCAGGGAGCACCCGGTCGACAAATGAGGGGTTGCAGAGAAAGGAGACCCCTTTACCTTCGTCAGAAAAGGCTCCTTCGCTAGAAGAGAGGGCAGCTGTAAGGAGAGAAGCTTTGATCCTGATTGATAGGCACCTAGCAGGTCATGCCCTGGAGCACCCAGACCTGGAGGAGCCAGCACCTGCAGAACCACGCCAGAAGTCATGCCAGCCCGAGAAGGAAATGGAAGTAGAAATCCCAAAGAGGGTCGACCTCCGCACGAGGGAAAGAGCGCACGCTGGAGGGACGGCTGAAGAAAAGAGGGTAAGACGAACCAGGCGGATAGATGAGATATGAAAGGAGAGGCAGAGGTTGGAGGCAGCAGGGGAGCTCTCGGAGCAGCAGCAAGAGAGGCAGAGATCGGAGACAGCAGGAGCACTCCCGGGTCAGCCGCCCAGCGCACCAGCTAGGGCCCTAGAGATTCCTGAGATATGGAGGGATTTCTGGGAGCATAGAGGAGAGGAGCTTCCATCGCCAGTCAGAGCCGGGTTTGGGGTGGCCAAGAAGACGGAAGAAAGGTTAGATCATAAAATCAAGTTCCTGGCCAAGACCACTTTTGACCGGCACTTGTTATTAGAGGGCGATCTGGCAGGGAAGAAAATGAAGGAAGCCAGCCATGGATTACGTCTGGAGGCTATGGAGATGGAAATTCAGGAACTTAGGGCTTTGGTGGCCAGCCAGGCAGCTATTATTGAGAGCCTGAGGCAGCAAACCCAGGGAAAGGCGGACAGACCAGAGAGCAGCCGGCAGGGAAAGCAGAGGCAGCCAGGACAGGGATTGCCAGGACAACCATCTGCGACAGAGCCTCGCCAGGAGCCGCCTATGTGGAGAGTTATCCTGGAGCCAGAGGAGGCGAGACCCCAGAGACAGGCAGAGAGAGAGGCGTTCGAGTTTAGAGTCCCTACTGAGCTCGCGATGCTGCCGGTGGCGGCGACAAGCCCGGTCGTACCTTTGGCAGTAGAGGAGGGGCTGCCACCATCTAGCATTGAGCCGGCTCAGGGCTCGGCAGAGGGATCCATGGGCGTGCTCCTTGAGACGGTGCATACTATGCGGGAGGAGGTGAGTTTGTTTTCACCTGAGCAGAGGATAGAGGAGCCTCTTGAGAGAGAGATGGGGATTGAGAAGAAGGGTGCCATCGAGGGCAGACTTCAGAGGATAGGCACGCCTGAGTATGGACCAGAGGAGATTGAGGAGCAACCCACGGCAGTGCCAGGGGCGACACTCGAGAGGAGGCCTCAGAGGTTGGACACGCCCCGAGTACGTCCCAGCGACAGAGGATTTGAGAGGCAGGCTAGGATCTTGGGCTACTGGATCTGGGTCTGGTGGACCGGTTCCGGGGACAGAGCGGTAGGAAGTCGTTGGTACTGCAGCTCCTTAAGCAGAGCAGCAGGGGGTAATCAGTACCTTGGCAGGATCTCCTTCATCACCACCTCCTCAGCCCAGGAAGAGGAAGTTAAGGAAGAAGGTTGATCAACTATGTTTCTACTGCAAGAGGAGCGCGCATCATGCTTTGGACTGTCTCGAGTTTCTTGAGGATAAGGCAGCAGGGAAG